CTGGAAGTATCAGGGGTAGCTGGTACGGGGCTCCTGGATTGATTTTCATCCATTCTTCCTGGGCTGCTGGGTAATAGTCGACCTGCCTTGAATGGTGAGTCCCCTCGCAGGTTCGCGAACGATGTCATGTCTGCGTTAGGAACGGCGGAGAAAGTACTGAAACATGTGTCATCCATGGGATCATGAGAGTCGTCATTCATAACATCGTCTGCAGCCTTCATTTCCAAGTTCTCCTTTTCGGAGAAAGAATCATCGTAGTCATTATGTTCGTCAAGGACAGTGCTCATTCCCTCGTTGCGTTTTTCCTCTACCATGCTAGTGGCAATTTCGTGTCCAGTGCGTCCTGTAATTTCTCTTTCATGCATTTGGGGCTCCTCATCGGCGTAGACTTGAATGTCCGGTATGTCACGTCGGCTCATTCCCTTTTTGCTTCTATCGCTTGACCTTTCCGTCGCATCCTCATCTTCTGGACAATGACTGTAGGAGCGCTTTCTGGGAGTCATGGAGCACTCGCTCAGCCCACCCGAGACCTGTCGGTTACCGAGTATCCGAAAGTCAACTGTAGGGTCTCGACCATCGTACTGGAACGGCGAGCTGGGCTGTTCTTCGACAAACTCGAGATCTCCGACATCCAGAACGGAATCCTGCGTGTGATACGTAGCTGGATAGCGCCCACTCTGGGGGGTAGTTGTATCGGCGCCGCCGTCAATCGTTTTCTTCGGACTCGCAAAGACATTCTCGGATCCGCTGTCATTCACCAAGGATTCACCCATCTCAACTTCCAATCCATTAAAGCCCGACGAAAAGGCCCGCGAATTTTGGCGCGAGGTCGGCAACGGAGACAGAGGTTTGGACATGACAATCGCGAATGGGTTCTCGTTAAGTGAAGGGCAACGGGATTGACATATGAATATGTGTTCAAACAATGTTTGTAGGCTCTAGAAACATCAACTCAAGGTGAGTGATGATGATATGCACAGCAACAGATAACGTCTGACTTAAGCAGTGCAAGGACAGTTAGTGATGTGGTTTATTATTTTCGGCTCGTTGCCAGGATGATGCTGTAAACAAAGCTATTCCCGATGGGATTTAGTGTCCACAGTAGCTAAGCGGTGGAACATGGCAATTCTGTGATCTTTGCTCTTTACCACCTCTTGTACGGAGTAGTGTAAAATTAACGGCTTTTATCGGGTGGACGAGCCTGCCAAGGAGTGCGACGATAGCGAATGGGAACTGTGGTACCTCTCTAGAATGTGCAATTTTTTACTCTGATATTTGACGCTATCGATGAAAACTGAAATCTTAATCTAGTGATCCGTGGCCACTGACACTGTACACCAAAACGCCATTTTGTCGCTAATCATGAAAAAGCCGAAAGCCCTCTAGCACTGGTATCACTCATACATGGTATCTTCAATCTATGTCAAAAACGAATAACGGCGGGATTGGGACGCACCCGCACCGTCTGCATTAGCATCGGTGTCCGTCACTATGATATGGATGGTCTCCTTTTGAGGTCGGGACTCATCTGGAACGTAATGATAATGGCAAGGCATAGCCGGCCGAATTGTAGCGGAGGTATGCTTCTTGTGCTTCATGAAACACAGTTGCACAGCACCAACAACAGCAACCAAAGAGCTTCCCCACCATGCGATAGCAGTGAAATTCATATCGGCACCGGTGCTGTACAGGAAACCAGCAATAGGAGGAGCAATAGTCCTAGCGATGGCACCGGCAGAAGCAGCTAGCCCATTGATCTTGCCCATGACCGATTCCGAAGGGCTTGCTTGCTTAATGAGAATCAGCAGCACAGGGTAATCGATTATCGAAAGTATGTTGCGAACGATAAGGCATATGTAAATGCCGAAGATGACGGAGCTTTGGGGTAGAAACATGAGGAATGGAACGATGAAGTAGGCGACAGGATGCAACACAGTCACCACCACAAATAGTCTCCAGACCCCCAGTGCCTGAGCGAGAATGGGAAAAATGCAACTCTGAATAACGAGCGCAATGATGCCATCCGAAGACATAATCAGGCCGACTGTCCGTGTAGAAAGGCCGAGTCCGCCAGGGAAGCTAAGCGGCGCGTTACCAATGCCCGAAACATCCCTGCCATTCTTGTCCTGCAAGAAAATAGGCAAGAGATGATCGTACGTCATGGAGTGATAAGTAAAGATGGATAACGCAATGATGAGCGAGACAACTCGGTAGGTGAAAACGGGTTGTTTTTGCGTCTTGTATTTCGAACCGTCGGCATTCACAAACCAATCTTCATCTGCCTGCAAGCGAACTTGGTTGAAGGTACCATATGATTCCGCGCGTAGATCTACACCTGCATTGGCTGTCGCTCCTGCGGTGGCCAGGAGAGGACTTTCGGCAGACGTATGATCAAGGTTTCCGGAAGCATTCTGATACTGCAGACCAGGATGGGTCTCTTGCAAGAATAACCAGCTGCCAACTATGCTGAGAACGAGTAAGAGGGAGCAGACCAGATTCGGTAACAGGTAGGGAAATTTGCCGAAAAGACCGTCGGCGGAGAACAGCGATGGATAGCTTTCTGCAGGCTTCGCAAGCAAACCTCCAATCGCGGGACCGATAATAGTTCCTATTGACCAGACAAACGGCATCACGGCGTAGGCTCGAGCTATAACAGTCACGATGAGCTAATGCTCCTGCTCCAGTTGTAGGGCATCTTCAAACATTTCACTTACGTTCATGTTCTGGTCGCTTGACTAATTCCCCAACCATTGTCTGAATGACTCCGATATTCCCGTTCAGTAGACCACCAAGAGCGCGACCTAAGAGCGCTACCCAGAAGTTTGGCGCGAATCCCACAAGGAGAAGGGATAGGATGGTACCGAAGCAACCGGACAGAAGGACCGGCTTACGACCGATACGGTCCGAAAGGCCTCCCCAGAACATACCGGTGAGGGCTTCGGCAAGAGAAAAAGCGGACACGAGGATCCCGGCATAGAAGGAAGCATCTGTGCGATCTGCTACTCGAAAATCCTTGACCATAACCCATGAGTATGGGAATATGGAGGTCAGAGCGATGGGCTCTGCGACACGGCATATTGCTGTTGCCCCAAGAACGTAAGTATGTAGTGCGATAGATGACAGGTGGATCACATACCGAGCAGGAATAGCTGAGCAGTAGGAAATGCATCGTCGGAGGTGGTTTGTCTTGTCTGGCGTGTTAATACCATATCTCCAGAAAATTCTTAAATTCTTACGGCAAGCCCCCAAACACTATGGCGAGTCTCCCAGGTGATCTTGCTCTTCTTTAAGGTCGGAATCCAAAGATCCCAGCCGCAGGAATTATGGTATGCCCTACGGCTTTGCAAGTTGTTATCGGGTTATTTTCCCTCGTTTTCGATTTCTATTCCTTTTCTTGTAAAGCCGAATCCAGTAAGGCGTCAAGATTGAGAGATGAGTGAAGTATGTGAAATGAAAATCCTTAATTGAACTTGGATTTATGAGATGGTCGGGAGAGGAAGAGGAAGAGAAAAAGGTTGAAAGCGGGGGATGACAGCCACCTCCTGATATGAAGGGGGAAAGCCCCCGGTCGGAGGAAAATACTGGAACCACAATCAGGTTTCTTGCCCTTGGTGCGTGGATTTTATTCCTACTTCCAGGCATTTATTCCAGAGCAGATAAAAAAGCTCTTTCAACCAATAATACAGCCTTACAATGACAAGGGTACGGGCTCTATTTCACCATGGGCTATCTAGAACGTATGCACAGGCTTGTAGGACATCTCCATCACACCCCCCTTGATTGAAAATTAATGGTGGAAAATGGATTCGCCATCCTTCTTGTTCAGCTGAAAGCACTTTCATTATACTAGCCAGTCAAGCACATCTGCCTCCTAAAAATCAGATTGACCTGGCACAAAAAGTGACGACTGCTTAACTGTCTTCTGACGTATAAAGTATATCATGGTATGGAGGTGGCAATCGGCAGACAGCAGATTTTTAACCCTGATATGTGAAGTGCGGCATATAGTGGCAAAAGCTAAAGATCATAGGGCAATCTGACGGTTAAGGACTTGACTCTATAGAAGTCCACCTTCTCGAATGAAAATCTTATGCAACTCTACCTCTCTAGTTCGTCGGTGCCAATGTCACTTGCCAGCACTAACGTTACACTAGTACCATTGTGCATTAGTCTACGGCTTACAACAGACCGGTATTTTGTTAGCGGCTGCTTTTCTAGAGGTTTCTCCTTCAATAGCCAATCAAGCTGAACTCTCGGAATGCTCACTCCATGGTACCTTGGGTACTCTATTATAACCACAATATATGTATAAAGTACTTCACTTAGCACCTTCGTCGAAAGTAAGCAGAGACGGAGGATCTCCTAACAGGCTAGGAATTTTTATGTGAACAATCAATCATGGCGCCATGGCCCAACCGTTACATGACCAGTTTTGAGAACATAAGCGAAAGACTGTGCTGAAAGACTGGTATGCCACAATGGTCAAGTTCTGGGCATCTTATAATAGACGTATATCATCAGAACAGCCCCGCCAAACATGCAACAACCATTCAAACACTGACTCTTCCAGAACACCTCCATCTCAATATCATTCACGGCAGATGTGACTGGAAAGCCGACTAAAGTCCCCAGCGCCGCCGCGGCCGATGATATACCAATCCTTGTACCGACGAGGTCTTTTTCTGGTGAAAGATGAGGCACAATAATCGGGTATAGAACTGCTAGTGGTCCCATGAACAAAGCAATGAGCACGCCCAGATGACAGTGGAACCCACTGATCTAACACCAATCCAGCCGAAGAGGAGGACACTGGATGCCAGCGCGGAGCCGCCCATGGTGAGCGCGGGCCCCAATCGGTTTGAAAGTGGCACCGCCAGGTACCGACCAGGAATGGTTGATGCATTACAGATGACTAGGATATAGAAGGCTAGATTTGAGCTTGCGCTGGCTTCGAATTAGGCAAAGGTGGGCAGTAGAAAGAAGGGGACCCAGTAGGCAATCTATATGAGGAATAGAGCTACGCAGAAGGCCATAAACGCTGGGTCGCGGAATGCGGTGGGATCTAGAAGGGAGCGGATATTATTGGGAGCCTTGCTCTTGGTGTTGGGTAACATGATTGCCATTGCTATAGTTAATTCACCTAGTGTCACGAAGCCGAGAACTCGAGTTGCCCATGGGAGGCTGAGCTTGGGCTGGAGTCAAGAGAATATGATGGGGTACATTATCCCACCTGCGTGTGGGCCTAGTTAGTGAGGATATTGATGGAAGGAAGGGGGAAAGGCATGGAGGATAAACCAAATGCGGTGCTGGTGGTGGCTATGAATATGGCCAATGGGCGACGTTGTTGAAACCTCAACGCAACGAGACTGATGCTGGGCATATATAGGATTGCACTTCCCATACTGATATAAACACCCTGTGCCAGGAGAATCTGGTAGTACTCGCGGGCTAAGCTCAGCATCATGACGCCCAATACTGTGGTTATTGTACCTATGATTAAGAGCTCCCGGATATATCCACGATCGAAGATCGGTCCCATTATGACGCCCCCCACTGTAAATCAAGGTCCCCAGTTAGTCGCGCGAATCTTCTTCACTTCGAACTGGTAGTGTCTTTTGCCTCTTAGAAGTTTGGTGACTTACAGATGAGAATGACACCCTGTAGCGTGCCGACCCAAGAAATTGTGGTCGAGGGCGTGGAAGACAACAGGGTTGTTTCATAGAAGCTTTCGTACAAGCCATAGGCACTTAACAGACCCGTACAATCAAGAAACGATGAGCACCACAGGTTGAACACAATAGGAGACTTATGCACCGACTCACCATGTTGCTGTGTAAATGAGAAAGGCACCTAACGCCTGCAGCCAGGCGTCCACGCCCTCGTGTCCTTCCTTGGCCACATTTTGGTGTCTGTGTTGCGAAACTGTAACTGTAGTTGGGATGGCTTGGAGGCTTTCAGATGGAGGTTTTGCGGAAGCCATACGCTGTTTTCAGTGGTAGTGAGTCCCTACCTACAGAGCAAAGGATGTGAGAGAGTTGAAATTAAGTATGTACCAGTTGAGGGGCCGAGGATGGGAAAGCTTATAAAGCTAGTAAATTGTACTTTGGGAACTCTACCGGGCCTGCCCCAGACAAACATTCTGTCAAATCCATTCAGAAATGATAAGCAGGGCTACAGAGAAGGGCTGCCAATTATCTAAATCCCATCTAGTCTCACACGTCCATATTCCTGCCATAGCATAGTGATTCTAGCGCATCTCTCTTCCTTGTACCATTTGCGGTGTTTTACATTAGAATCATAAGGTGATTGGATGCCAGAGGTCGAGATTTCTGTATTGACACATAATGGTCGGACATAATTAGCTGTTTGATGGATTTGGCGGCTCCTCAGGCGATTGTATTGGTGGTATACGGTGACTTGCATTCACTAAGTACCCGATCATCCCACTACCGTCACAAGCTCGACGGATTGCTTGACTTTAAACTGCCAGGCCAAGTACACTCCTGCTAATCTTGCGCAGGAGGGACGGGGAAAACGCAGACAGCTTTGCACTATGCCGTCCAAAATTGGGCAGAGTACAAGTCAGGGATTGCCATTGTAAACGCAACATCAATGGCCTTGCTTTCGGCAGACTTTGACCGCTTACATGACCTTCTTCGACTTGGAGACTCTAAGGACATGATTAGAGCAGTTAAAAGCTGGCTATCTCGGCCTGAAAACAGTAAATGGCTTCTGGGGTTCGATAACGCTGATGATCTGGACACAGTACCACTTCATAAGTTTTACCCGGCCGTGCACTGGGGTCGCATTATCATCACCAGTCGTGACCAGGGGGTAATTGGCAGCATAGCCGAGAACGGCCATATTTTGGGTCCCCTGAGGGAAGGCGATGCAGTGCAACTACTACTCGAAAAGTCGGGGATCCAACACCCTACCGAAGGTGATATTGAAGACGCAAGGACCGTTACAGGACTTCTCGGGTCTCTCCCTCTCGCCTTGGTACAAGCTGGGGCATTTGTTCGCTCAAGGCATTGAAGCTTTCAGCAATATTGTAGGCTGTACAATACTCGGTGAGATGATTTGCTTGGCTTCGCTTCCCATCTTGGAGACTCTGAAAAGGCAGTCTAATGACCTGGGAAATCAATTTTAAGCAAGGGAGCGGGAGTCCCCGGGCGCTGCCTCTTTGCTTCTTCTGTTCTCTTTTCTGGAACAGTCTTTGATTCCGGAAAATGCTCCTGCATCGAGGCACTACTCCCCAAAGAAGATGGAGTGAGGATGGTGAAATGATTGAGGTAACTGCGGAAATGGAAGGGGTAGAGAAATATTTGGTCCAGGTCATCCAAGGAGATTTTGAGTTTGACATGGCTGTGGAGAAGCTACTTTCCTTCTCACTGATTTCCTGTAACAAAGAATCCGAAGGGCTTAGAAGCTTTTCCCTTCATCTGCTGGTCCAGTACCGTGCTATAAAACGGTTATTACTGGTTGATGTGAGAAAGTGGCGATGGCAAGCTCTTTTACTCGGTTGTCATGCGTTTCCGAGGACTTGTTCCCTTGAGCCGCTGTAAGTTCCTTCATTTTTCTTTTGAAAATCAGTCCCTAATGTCTGGCAGAGGAATGAAGAGGTTGGAAAGACGTTGCTACCCCATCTAAGTTGAGTCCTCTCTGAATATGATGCAATGTGTCTTGAGCACGGAGACCCTGCCTCCTTTTGGCACGAACACGCATTGACTCTTCTCGCCGCTTCATGGTTTTCGAATGTAAAATGGAAGGTCGAAGCAATCAACTGTACCAAAAAGCTCCTCGAAGGTGACAATGATTGTTTCCTTAACGCCTGGTTAGCATTTAGGAGAGCTCGGTAATGAGAATGTTGGGAAAATTAAGAGAGTTGGAGAGCGCCCTGTATAAATTCTTGCACGACACGGCTACGCCTAAAGAAAAAGAGTTGGAATTGAGCAGGAGATATAACGCCCAACGTGGCGAGCTTGTCATTTCATTCGCGGAGAACCTAATTCGCGAAGGGAAGCTCGTCGAAGCGAAAGCGGAGTTGACAGAGTGGTCACCACTAGACATTGCTTCTTCCTCTCTTGCAAAAATAACTTCAAGAGCCCGAGACATAAACTCTGGGTAAGATCCTTCGGCTCCAGGGCCTCTTCCATGAAGCCCTGGCTCAACTCGACGGTGTCATTCAAGGCTGTCTTCTGGACGAATTCTTTGAGGGAATTGGCTGGTATCGAGGCCTCCTTTCGGAAGTCGCCGACCTACGTTGCGAATAGGGCCAGCCACTTGAGGCAGAAAAGCTCTTGATTCAGGAGTTGACCCCAATGAGAGAGCGAAGGGCACTCATGACATTGCCACGGGCCGACGGCTAAGAATGTCGCTTGCGGAGACCTACCTCGAACGAAACATGTTTGCGCAGGCGGAGGAGCTTCTGCTTGAGCTTCATCGCGCATTTTGCTCTTCTGGTGAACCGGACTATAATGCTCAATTCAACATTTTCCGTCTCTGGATTTCACTGGCGAGGATTTCTCATAAGCAGTCAGAGTGGGAGCAAGCGATTTCGCGCTGGAGAAACGTTTTATCGGCCTTCGGGCCCCTGGGCCAGGACAAGAGTTTCAATGCTGGTCTTGTGCGTTGTTCCGTCGCTCATATACTTTTAATGACGGGGTGTGAGACGGATAGCAAGCATATTCTGCAAGAGGCGAGAACAAACATGGCATCGGAGGCTCGGGCATGTTGGATTCCCCTTTTCAATTCCCACTGGCATGACTATATTACCAAAGCCACGCATTCGTCTCTGTGAGGGCACAGATATGATTCGGTGATTTCTTTTTGATGGCACGTACGGAGGTTTATTTTAGGCGCTAATTTATAGTCGATAACCGAAACCTTCTTTCAGTAGCAACCGCTAGAAAAATGAGATCAAAGCTTTTGCGCAACCCCCGGCAACTGTTTGTCAGATAGGCCGGCTGCGTCTCGTACTAGGTACCTTAGCTGTTGCGAGGTAATGGACTTAATGTAGTGTGCACACATGCCAGCTAAGACACCCTGACAGACCCAGGAAGAAAATCGGAGGGCAACCTCAAAAGTGGTGGTGGAATTGTCGCATCGGAATTAAACCATCACAGAAGGCATAATGAAGCGCACTTACGAGGTATTTCCTTCTACAGAGCTGTAATACCAAAACTAACAAGGGGAAGAATGCTCTCAAACTCCTCGAAGCTCGAAGGCGTAAAGCCCGACCAACGAGTCTGACAACTTCGGTTTCCACAGTCCAAGGTACAACGACAACGAAAGGGAATTCTCTGAAAGGTCTACCCAGCGTCGTTGGGATGAAGGAATGGCTGCAGCTCTTAGGACACTCGGTACGAGTGATTCATGAGCATGCCATACACCAGCGATCTGACTTGTTCTAGGATAATGCGGTCAACAGCTTGAATATAATTCATGTCAGCGGCACGAAGGGGAAAGGTAGCACCTGCGCTTTTACACGCGCCATCCTTCGTGCACATGGTATGAGGACAGGATTTCCCAAGCGCATTGGGCTCTACACCGGTCCACATCTGCAATGCATTCGTGAAAGAATACAACTCGACGACCATCCAGTCCCCGAGGAATTGTTTACCAAATACTTCTTTGAAGTGTGGGATCGCATTATGCCTGAGGATATAGAGCAGGATTCCGGAGTTGCTAGGCAGCCTCGATACCTCCAGTTTCTGGCCCTGTTGGCTTTCCACACTTTCATCAGAGAAGGAGTACAGGCGGCAATTTTCGAGGTCCACCATGGCGGAGAGTACGATGCTACAAACGTGATCCAGAGTCCCGTTGCGACCGGAATCACATCCCTTGGAATGGATCATGTTGCACAGCTTGGACCTACTATCGAGACAATCGCTTGGCATAAAGCGGGAATATTTAAACCTGGTGCACCTGCTTTCTCTGTAAACCAGAAACCCGGCCCCGCGGAGGTTATGCGCAAGCGTGCTCTTGATAAAGGCACTACTTTGACGTTCGTCTCAACTAATGAGTGCCTTCCCACTGATGGTAGAGTCCTCAGCGTCCCAGTGCAACGATTGAACTGTTCCTTGGCACTTGAGCTCAGTAGAGCATTCGTTCATGCTAAGGCGCCTGGCCATACAATTAGTGACGAGGACATCTATCATGGTGTTGAAAGTTTTTCGTTGGCTGGCAGATTCGAGATTATAGATGAAGGGCAGGTACAATGGTTTGTGGATGGGGCACACAACGTTCTGAGTCTAGAAGAAGCTGCAGAATGGTTTGCTAGGAACGCCAGTAACGACCAAAAGTAAGTCGACTAATTCAGTTTCAAATGGCTGTCAGCTAAGATACAAAGGTGCCGCTCCCTTATTTTCAGTCATTTATCAGAAGCGAGAGATGGGGTGATGCTCGTACGATCTCTCGCGCATGCACTCTTCAAAAACAAAGTGAAACCTGACCATGTCATTTTCACTACGTATCAAGAGAAAGAGGATGACTCTATCGGTACGTAGAACAGTCGGAGCTTTTGCAAATCATGACTGATGAGCTAACATTGTGTGGTCAGACCGAGTCACCGAAGTCTCTGAGGCTCGAATCCATGACTTATGCGCTTTGTACTGCTCGGTGTGGAAGGAACTTGATCCCCTGGCTACGGTTACAAGTGCACCAACCATCGAGGAAGCAGTGAGGCTTGCCAGAACAATGAGAGGCCGTGAAGATGGAATGCAAGTACTTGTAACGGGGAGCTTACACATGGTTGGCGGAGCACTCAGATTTCTGAGGCCGTCGCCGCATTAAGGTAGGTGTTAATGTACTAGTCGATTTGGCCTTAAGGGGTGAGCTTTTAAGCCAATCAACCTGCTGCGAGCTGAAACACTTTCGTCTGCGTCTGGAGGCTAATGTGTAATGATCATCAACTTGTACAACTAATGGGTTGTTCTTATTTGTCAGCGGATCCAAATAAATAATAGGTCTTGTAGGTCTTATATTCCGTCAGTAAGCACATGAGCAACCCTAAGCCTCTGTAATTTAAGCGCTATGAGCAAGTTGTGTGAGAGGTTGCCGGAAACAGCGCAGCAGAAATGAATTTTTCATAGGGGGGTATCGCGAAACCAAGCCAAATAATAAAGAGGTAGAACTGATGTATCGATCAACCGACAATCATCCTGGTATTGATTGCTAACGTTCAGCGTTCTCAGAAACTGGAATATACGATCGTCTTTCTCGCGCTGCCTGAACATCGAGTTAGCCCGCTGTTCTGAAGAGGCTCGTCTCTGACCACCCCATACCTCAAGCCACTTTTCTACCCATGGCTTGCAAGCTGCCCAGGTCAGGAGACCGCTGGTGGCGATGATGAAGATGAAGACTATAGCCTCGTCCTTCCTAGAATCTCGCTCTGATTGCCACAACGTCAGCCGATATAGCTCCAGTGTATTATATAGCCTGTGTCAAGATTACTTCGACCAGGCAGTGGAGGCTATGCCATACGGAAACAGGTTGTGAAGACATCATCTTCCTTTGCGCCTTTACACATCGGTAGATTATAATCCAGGCAGAACTTGCGATTGCAATCATTGCAGCTCAGAGCGCGATATTTGTTGACTCTTTTCTCGTGAGACGTAGCATTGTCATCGCGAAGGGCAAAGGAATTAAGAGGTGGTGTCGATTCGGGATTCGGAGAGTCCAAGGGTATAATCGTGCTATTTGTAAAGCACGTGCATTTGCAAAATGATGCTGGTGCTAGTCATCAAATAGGGATTGTCAGTCGACAGTCTCGAGTGTCAGATAGCGATGGGACGGTCGAACTCACTGGAAGCTAATGTGAAGGATGTACAGGACAGAAGTGCTAGAACCGTGAAAAGAAGATAGAGACTGCTACTCCGGAGTGACATGACGTAGATATAACTTTAGGAAGAAAGATGAATGTAATATGAGTTCAGCAGCGGTATTTCTGTGCAGTACTCATTTTTGATGTATCATTTATACTGCACGATACGATGAACACAGCGACACTGCGATGATAAGGTAGCTTTCCCCGGAGTCTTGAAGTCATGTGACTTGCCGTACATGTGCAAGCTACTTTATTTGGTTTGGGATCTCTCAGAAGGGGTAGAGGTCTCTATTATTCTATACGCAACAATATATGATCTGACATCGACAGAACCTTTGAACCATCTGATCAGGATTTCCCCTTCATTCCCTTTCTGCGGTTCTCCCGTTGTCTTTGTTCCTTGGCAGCATCGCGCCGGCGCTTCTTCCAGGCACGGTTATTATCTCCCCGATTCTCCCAAAACCATTTGGTAAATTCGGAATCCTCTTTCAACCCTGCCTTAGTTTCAGACCTAGCAATGGGAGTGTCTGCGTATTCCTCAGTCACTTCCATGGCATCAGAATCATCGTTGTTCCAATCGAATTTTCGGTTGATCAAGGCTGTGTCTGGTGTTGGAGCAGCACTTCGTAATCCCCGACTTAGTAGATCCTTTTTTGTGAAGGGTGTCTGCGGCTCCTTATTCTGTTCTTCCTCTTCTTCAGATTCGATGTCATCCTGTCCGAAGAAGCTGAATTGGGTGTTTGTTTCTGGCGCGGGTTTGCTATCTGAAGATTCGACAGCAGGCCGCTTGAAAAGGGCTTCTAAGGGGTGCACATCCTTGGAATCTGTTCCATGAGTCGTTTGCACAGAGGGCGTAGCACTACCAGGTAATAGCTCAGGCTGGTCAGTCTTCCGAGGCGAAGACACGTTTCCCTTCACCGGCGATGTATGTGATTGTTGCTGTTCATCTTGGTTGAAAGAGGCGCTTGATTCAGAAGATGCAGACGACATGCTGTCTTCGATTTCTGAGTCTGTGCTGCTGTCATCAGATGACGTCGTCCCACTAGAAGATGTCCAATCCTCTGACTCATCTGCCGAGTTAATTCCGTCATCCTTTGTTTTCTCAAAGTGCGTTTCCTGCGCCGTCGGATGAGCTTTCGCCGGCTTTCGCTTCTCCTTAGCCCCGGCGACTTGCCCCGGGCGATATTGGTCTTTTCTCAAACGGTCACTAACCGTCTCTTTGAGGTTTCCTGCAAAATCTATCCAACCTTTGCCTTCCTCAAACGCAGATGTAGGTGCTGCTCCATCTCCTTCCGACCGTAAGAAGCTCGGATGGGTGATGGTTGTGGCGAACTCATGGACAACGGATTCCTGTGGAGATTTCTTTTTCTTCTTGGCCTGCTTTTCCTGCTTCTCATCGGGAGACGCAGATCGGTTCTTGGGTATCTTGGTTCGGAAGAGGCATTCTGACTTCTCAGTATACTTCGATTTTGCTTGGGTCTTCGCCTTTTTGTCATCTTTTCCCTTCTTCATCTTTTCATCCTTACGTCTCTCTTTCTTGACATTGGTCGACTCTGTCCACCCTCTTTTCACTTGACGGCCGGACGGAAGCTCGTATCCATCGAGAACGTTGTCATTGGCCTTGCGCTTTTTGGATACTTTGTCGGATGTAGTCTTTGTGGTGGACGTAACAGTGTCAGCTTCGACATCCACTTCTTGTCGTTTCGGTGACCGCGCAGTCTCGACTCTAAACTTTCTTCCTTTCAGGATTGAACCATTCAGTTTCTTTTTGATCTTATCCGCTTCCATTGCCGGCAGCGTCACGTAGCCGTAATTGTTCTCGGGAAATGTTGGAATGCTATGAAAAGAGATATCTGTTGCGGACGCTCGGACCGAAGATGGTAGTACAGAGGGCAAGAGATCCGGAGTGAAAGGAGTGATGTGTAGGCGCGTGGTCTCTGATGCTGTGGTAGTCATTTGCTGTACCGAGAAAATACTGTGTATCTTTGCAGTGACCGATGAGTTGGAAGAGATACTGGGAATTTAAGAGAGCTGCATCAGATTGGATTATGCAAGCGAGGGTCTCTGGAATCAACACGATAGAGACAAAATCAATAACAGTGAACTGGCTCTCCTAAGGCATTGAATGCAAATGCAAGCCGCAAAGTAGCTGAGCAGACAAGAAATAATGTTCTTGGCATTGGGATTTTCGACCGCCAGATCCAGGCGCAGGTGTGGCGGATCAAGCCACAGTTCATTAGCCACATATGATATGTCCTGCCAAGGCCAGGTAGATGCGCGGTAGTACTTGAAGAGGTGATACTCAGTACACAAGAATGCATGTCATCGGATTCGAAGCTCATTATCGTAGAGCAAGAGAGAAAATTGGAGAGACTAGTACATACTTCGCTAGCTTCAACAGACTGAACTGCAGTATTAAACCTTTGTACCTTGCTTCCTGCTCCGTATCCAAAAGTGCTATCCATGGGCAGCACGGAGTACTTCCGTATAGAGGTACGGACTACGGAGTACATGTGTCCACATTATTTATCGCAACCCCACTGTCACCGATCTACGGAATAAGGGCGTTTACAAGGGGTCTAGCCGGTGTACGGAGTAGCCACAGCCTCTTTTGATGGAATGGAAATGATCGATGACTGCATGTTACCTGTCATATTACCAAATTTACAGGCCGAATGCGCCTTTGCACTAGTATTGTTGGTAAGGTTTTCATGTATGTATGGGCTATTACCTTGCCATTATTGAACTCAAAAGTCATCGATCTCACCTTAGTAACTTCAACTATCTTGGGAGCCCCATCCGCCCTCTCCGAATCTTGTCTGTTTCTCAGTCACCTTCCTGCTCTTTGAAAGCTCACGCTATCAGTCTCATCGAGTATTTCTCTTATTTTTGTTTTCGATATTTTTCTCAGTTTCCAAGAGATCTCCGACTTCTTTCCCTGATCCGGCGTATTCCATATTCCCGCGGCTAACTCAAAGCCCGCATTCTGATCTCATCGCCGCACTGAGTAGCCACATCTGTCGCTCACATGGCCACATTGGGTTCATTATCACCACATCATTTGCATCCCCGCTCTAAGAACTGAAACCTCCCTTCTTCCGTGCTTCATCTTGCTAGGACTACTCATCGATACATTTGATAAATTTCCTGTTCGCCTATAATTGGCGTGGCGTCGTCGAAGTCAAACCGCCTTTCAAGTACGAGTTGGTCGCAGTTCATCCCGAACCATCCTGACTAGCTCGTTCTGTATTACAACCCACCCTCTCGTTTAGGGCAAGGATGGGTAACTCGCAAACTAAAGAATTCCGCCCTCCTCTCAGTTCTTCCAACCGCCGAAGTCATCAATGGGGCTCCTCTAGCAGTCACGGGAGATCGCCGTACAGCGACCGGCATCATGCGGAAAGTTCCAGGTCTCGAGGTAGTAGACCAGATCTTTCTATCCTTGGAATCGGTGGGAGCTCCGAGAGAGATGTGGCCACTCTTGAGCATCGGAGAGAGACAAAGCAGGAGCGAGAAGCTCGTCGGCTAGAAAAGGAGCGGGCAGCTCGGGTCAAAGAACGAGAGCGTAGCATGAGGGAAGAGCATGTCGATGGCGGTTATTTGGTTACGCAAGGCGTTTACGTGGGTGCTGAGGATTTCAATAAAGTGGTGACTCGGCAACTGATGGTAACTATAACCCCCTGCAGCCCATTCCTGACCTAAACTGATCTCGGGGCTCAGATTGAGCGGAGACTCGCGCCGTTCTGGAGAGGACTGAATGATTTCTCGGAGTCGTGGACTGAGCATCAATTGATGGCAGCAGCGCGTGGCCTGCCAATACCGCCACCAGATGAAATTCCCCCGGAGCTGGAGTATAAGAACCCGCCGAAATTGACTGAAGATGGGAAGGAGTCCAGCATTCAACACTTGATGGTGCCAATTACGTCAAGGTCGCAATCCTACGGCTCCGAAGCCTCGCAATCATCAACCCCAGCGCATTCTCTGCCAACGCCCGTCTCTCCCATAGCTTCCGGTACTTCAACCTCACCGTTGTTTCGAAGCCGGGCGAAAACCTTGGCTTCACTCACCACATCCAAGCTTGGTTCTCAGATCGATTCGACGCCTAAGGAGATACATCTGCCTGAAGACCCATTTGTCAATGGGCAGCCAATAGAAGCCTATCTTTATAAAGATGCGACCGAATGTCCGATATGCTTCTTATACTATCCCCCTTACCTTAACCGCACGAGATGTTGCGACCAGCCTATCTGTTCGGAATGCTTCGTTCAAATTAAGCGGCCAGATCCACATCCGCCGGAACACGGAGAAGCGGAACCCAATGCCACCGCCGCGGAGGGCGACCGTCAGGACAATCAAGACTGCCAGCTAGTATCTGAGCCTGCTGCATGTCCATTTTGTGTACAACCCGAATTTGGAGTTACATACACTCCTCCACCGTTCCGCAGAGGGCTCGTTTACGCAACAGATCCTACACTTCGCCCCAACTTTGCTTCTCCAGTGTCCTCGACGTCGTCTTTAGCTTCGGCCAATGCGCCTCCAGGGACGGGCCGTCGGCGCGCTACCTCGCTGTCTGCCAACGACCCTACGGTCATCACGACAGACAGAGTTCGTCCTGACTGGGCTCAAAAACTAGCGAATGCCCGGGCTCATGCTGCGCGAAGATCCGCCGCGGCCACGGCTCTGCATACCGCTGCATACTTAATGAATTCTACCGCATCGGGAAATGAAAGCAGAAATTTCGGTCTTGGACGCAGAGGCGTTATGCGGAGAACTGGTCAATCGGAGACTCCGAGTGCCTCGAGCCGCTCAGGCTCCCCAGCTCTACAGGCCCTTGCATTTCTGACCGACAGACGTACACCCGGACATGAAACAGACTCCGCAGAAGAAGGCGCAGGGAATCTAGCACCGCCTCGTAACAGCTCGAGACGGAACCGTATTGATGATCTCGAAGAGATGATGATGATGGAAGCGATCAGACTGAGCTTGGCTAGCGAGGAAGAGAGGCGCAAAAAGGCCGAGAAAGAGGCCAGGAAAGAAGCAAAGCGGCGAGAGAAGGAAAGCAAAAAGGCAGAGAAGGCTGCGCGCAAGCATGGGTTCTACAGCAACAATGCTAGCAGCTCCGCTTTGGACGTTCCTTCAGATGCCCGACTTGGAAGGGTCACGAGCAGCTCCTCCTCGATAACTGGCGAGGATGCATCTCCAAGCAAGGGTAAGGAAGTGGATCGCGCATCGCCATCTGCTACTGCTGCTTCCTCGCAGTCAAGTACCGAAATCGCCTCTGATTCTATGACCATCAACCCGCACCCAAACGTGGTGGAACACGGATCCAGCGCGCAGTCTTTGATGGCTCAGCCCTCGGCACGCGAGCCGCCAAAGCCATCGCATCTGCGTCAGGTGTCCAGTGCATCCTCATCATTCTCATCACTTGTTGAGTCAACGGGAGAAGATCACAGTGGGGCTTACGATGGCAATGCTTCGTCCACCGAGCCGCTGTTCAACTTCCGCAGCTTAGCGGCTGTTATCGGAGATGAAGACAAAGGCGATGAAACTGCAGAGCATGTGGAAGATACATCATCAAAACCGAGCGCCGAGGGGTCAGCTTCCAGCGCTGCGCCTGTGGCCGATGAGATGCTTGGCCAATCCACTGCGCCTGCTGACCCGATAGCTGTGGGAACCGTCGCAGAGGAGCGGGACTGCTTGATGCCCAAGGAACTCGAGACTCAGTCGGTGGAGATTACCAGCGCCACGCGAAATACCGAGGCAACAACTTGAGGAAGTGCTGGAAAGGTTCATGCGAGGACATTCCAGCCTCCCACGGCATTGTCTCATATATGGCGATGAGAGGCCCGGCTAGTTGCGAGCTATGCCAGAACGCATTTATGGTTGGAGACAATCGCCAACTTGCTCTCTTGACTCTTTGTCTTCTTTACCTCATCCCTCTCTCCGTATTTCATTATATTCTCTCGGCGGGCTGACCTCTTTTATATACATATACAGTGCAGTAGATCTGTCTTTTCCCTTTTATGTGATTGTATTCCTGTACTAGCGCAGATGGGCAGCGAGACTGCATCTAGTTTTTATGGCCGTGGCTGTTTTTTGTTTTTGACGGGTCCCAAGGGCTAAATGAGCTTCAATGTGGTTTGGAACGAGTCCTTCCTTCCGACAGGGCAAATTCAGATATTTTACTGTCTTTGGATAGACCATGAAAGCACGATCGTTAAAAATCCTATCAGATTCTATAATTTGACAGATCTCCTATACGGAGGGCGGAGGACAGCTCTTTATTAGGCTGGGAACTGTTTGCTATAGCTCCGGGTTAGAATGAGGCTCAGTCTCTCAGATTAATCATAGAAACTTTTGCCAACAAGCGTACTGTAAGTACTTGAGTCCTAATTAATTTCGGTAGATTCGGGAGGCTTGATCGTTTCATGGATCGATTGTTTCAGATGGCGTTTCACTCAATGCTGTTAATGTAGGTATTAGAGGGTGTATGGATTGCATGCTCTGCATAATCAAAGAAAGACACAAGTGGTGATTTCAGAAGCATTCTTGTTCTTATGGATTATTAGATCACCGCCTGACATTAGAATCAATCACAGTGATGTGGATAGAAGGATAAGTACATGGAAGGGTACCTGCATTCCTCCTGCTACTGTTAGTGCCCTGTTATTTATTATCCTCAGTGAGATCCACAGCCCCCACAGCTCCCCTTGGACCTAAAACATGAAATAGAGATTGACGTTTGATAGTTTTACGTCTGTCTATCTACAACCTGATGGAAGTCATTGTTAGTCTGATTATGAGGAGTACATCAAATATGTGAAGAGGGATTTTGTCTCATTCTTAATCATACGCAGGATCTCGGCAGTTCATCTTCTTGTAAAGCCGGCCTTCTGATCTGCCTGATTTATTCGGTTGCCTTGAAGGATACCTCCATAGCGCTGCATAATCATGAACTAGTCAGCTACCTATTGAATCCTGCCAGAGAAGCAGGCCGTCACTCCGTAGGGAGGATCAAAAAGATATGATCTATCACCTTTGATGCCTGTACCTAAAAGGAAACGACTACCTTGGATCTTCATTTGCTCTGAAAGCGGCCGAGTGTCTTTTGTTTCCGTCTCTTCCACTCCGAAACTAATCGATAGATAACGAAAACGGCAGGCTGAGCACACCAATGGACTTTCAGAATTGGAGCACTTTTAGATTTCAGCTCATTCTAATCTCCGTCCGGCGTGTCACAACTGGCCCTGGTTATAGGACTATTCCCTACCACTAACTAAAGACCCTAAGAGTGGATACGTCCAGTCCATGGTTCTCTGACGAGATACCCGGATTTCCCACGACGGAATCCTGCTTGGTTGGACCATAAGAATGATTGCAAAATACCAGGAACCTACGTAGTCCAACTCAGATGATCACGAATGATACTTCGTACTCTTGTTTATTGGCGCCTTTTTGCTTCTTTCTGGTATCTTAAGAGAAAACTAACCTCTCCACAGCCTCTGCACGGCTGAAGTGTCTGTTCCCTCCAGGATCGGTCTGGTTGCATTGACCGAAAGAACTTTTTTTCCTTTTTTTTTTCCTTTTTTTTTTTCCTGCTCAATTGCTTCAAATCATCCACAGACGTCTTCAGTATCGAAAATATATCAATTTTAATATTTCTGGGTGGAAGCAAAGCGTCAATCTCATACAGCCATGGCCATTCTGCAGAAGGAGAATCGGCCTCGTGGACTGCGAGTTCCGTCGCTTTCCGCCTTCAAATCTAAGAAAGCCATCGACCACGAGCCAGCTCCAGCTCCCGCTCCTGTTTCTACTGCTCCTTCGGCTGCTGCTCCTGCGCCTCCAGCTCCCGTTACTCCTCCTCATTACCCCGTGCGAACCGACTCTGCCCCCATTCGACCTGCACGACCACAGAATGACAAGGAACTGCCTCCGAATCCACTGCCGGCTTTTCCTCCCACATCGGCATCCCTAGGGCCGGAGGATATCCACCCAGCATTCAGAAACGAACCGTCAGCTACGCGGAACCACAACTATGCGCCTCCTGCCAGAGCCCGCGATGAACCACCAGTCCATATCCCGACTCAACAGACCCCTTCCAGCGAAAACTCAGTACCGCCCGATGCAGGCGACCCATTAGAAGACTTCATCCCGGATCCCGAGCCCGAGCCCGAGCACGAACCGGAACTGGACGGTGCCAGTGGACGCCTCGACTCTGTGTCAAGTGACGAGAATAATGGCCCGTTCACCCCTCCTGAGATCGAACCGGTCACGGTGCCACTGAACCGACTGCATTATGCTTGTTTCCAGGAGCATCGGAGCATGATGCCAGCCAACAATGTCTGGCACTCGCTGCCGTGCATGGCCTGCCAGAAATTCGACCGGGAGATGCGCTACAGGTGTGTCTTCTGTTGCTTGCGCATCTGCGCGGACTGCTATCAGAGCTTGCAGAAGGTGCCGAATCGCTCGCTGGCTCGATTGATGGAGACGATGCCTGTAAATTCTTAACGCGACGGGTTGGTTGATGACTCGCACTACAATCGTTGACAGCGGTATGATTGACAGTTTCGGAAAGATATATATATTCAATGCTTCTTTTGGTCAATGACCTGCCTAATGTGATGCTGTACTCTGGATGTGTTATGACGGGAGTTTTGAGTCTGTTTATATACCTTTTTGGTCCGAGCTAGAGTGGATGATGGTCTCTGTTCTTCGCTATGATATTCCTCAAGGGTATGCTGTACAATTGTTTAAGTTGCTTAGATCTCTGAGAATCTAAATTCTGGCCTCTCTGGAGAGTCACCATTATATGAACACGTGTCAATCATGATCTTCTTCAGTGAGACCAGGACACCCCTCCATCTCATCCGTTTCGTAGCGATACTTGCACCAAAAACAGTATCGATGTCGTTCACGCAGATATACAACTAACCGGGCCAGCCGTTCGCTCGGACCCAGCGCGTTGAACTCATCAAGTTCTGGGTCTTCCTCCTCCAGTTCTTGTTCCAGTATTGTAGACGTATCTTTCCCGGAGGCGAGTGCTTCTTTGTCGTCAGGCTCCAGCGTAGGATCGTCATACCCCGGTAACCGGGGGCTGGGGAAGAATGACGACGGGAGTGATGTCTGAAGAGCGTGGCGCATTTGTAGAGCTCGCTCCTGCTCCTCACGCTCGCGCACCAAGCCTCTGTACAAGACATTGATCTGGGACGTGGGCTTGACCCTCACCTTGGCGCGTGCGGCGCGCGATTCACCGGTCGAATCTTCCACTGAGCCCTCATCGCGGGACTGCTCCCTATCCGGGGATTTATCCTCCTTCCCCGTCTGGCCCGCCTCTGCAGTTTCCACGACCCCATCCGCAGTCTCACCCTCAGCCTCGGCATCTAATCGCTCCGCTACCTTTTGCGCGGCGTGCACTTGGGCTTCTGTCCGTCGCGTTTCACGCTCCTGCCGAACGCGGTCCCTGTAATCTCCTTCTTCTTGCTTAACCTTCTTCACAGCTTCTTCCGCCTCCTCCCGGAATTTGCGCTTCTTCTCGCTGTCCAAACCGATGCCTCCGCGGCCCTCTTTGAACACTAGATTCAGCGGCTCGGATCGTATCCGTTCCTCTTTATCGTCATGCAAGGGTGGGCTATCTCCGTCCGAGGGCTTACTATCTCCGGGTGGTGTCTGCGGCTTTCCTAGAGTCTGACCGGGTTTGAAGCCGAGTTTGGCCATCATCTGGAACCCCTTGTTGGAAGGGTCCAGCGTGCTTTTGGACAGGGCTGCATCTCGACGGGCAGCTTCTTGGGCGGCAAGTTCGGCTTTCGAGGGGACTTTGGCGCGAGCTTCTGCCTAGGACGCGTGGGAAGTTAGCTTTGGGGCCGAGCGTTGTTAGTTGTTATCGAGTGGAAAGCCAGAAGAAACGGACCTCTCGCTGCTTGCGGAGCTTTTTCTGGGCAAATGTTTCCTTTTGCTGTGGCTCCTCGATCACCATTGACATGTAGTCATCCTCCTCTTCCTCTCCTCCGTTCGCCGGGGGCATTGTGATGATTGCGCGCCCTGCCGACTGCCGGAGACCAGAAGTAGAGCCGAGGAGCAGCCGGAATTTAATTTAAGTGATGACCGGATGGGATCGAATGCTAGATGGGGATTTGTATGCCAAGGAATTAGTTGCAAATGATGGTCTGAGATTAATTTGCCAATTGCTGAGACTGGGGTTCCTTGATTGCGGGGAAGAAAAATGCCGACCAAAATGAAGCAATTTCTCTCTCTCTCCACAGTTTCCCGCGTGATAACCTCCTCTACTGTTTCATCCCCTCTCACACTTCTGCAGGACACACTTGAGTCACTTCCCGCACTTGAAAAGAGTTGATGAGGTGATACAGGAAGTCTTAATCGTCCTTCTCAAACCTTCTTTGGATGGAAAACTCAAATCAGATGATTGTTAGGACGTCAGCACAGGAGAGACAGCCTCGCAGTATCAACAATTGCATATCTCACTTCCTCCAGCACTCAGTGCTGACATTCGATCAGCATCAGATAACAGCCAAGCATGTTCCAACAATTGGAAAACGGAATCCACTTTTGTTCGCCGTAACTTCTTGTCAGCTCTCGAGGACGGAATATCCGAAGAGATGATAGGTTAACATGCTGATCCGCTTCTCTTCCTAGCGGGATATTTACTCCCTGCCGTGTTGTACTTCGGCTATAACGCCGATAATGGCTATCATGTGGCTTAGCTTACCAACTTGAGATTACTCCCTAATTTCGACAATCGCTGACATCACTTGGAAAGATGTTGGTTCCAGATCGTCTGTTGGACTCGTGCCGGAGAAGGTCCCAGAACCTGAGCCCGGAGTCTCGGGCCTGTGACAGTTATCCTCGGTGTAGGGTATCACTTAAATAGTGTTTGATCACCTACTCTTGGAGTATCCTTTCGAGCCATTGTCTACTGTCTTTTTCATGCCGATCGGGCGTGCCACCAGAAAAATGCACCTGAACAATCTTTACGCCTTCGTTCTGCTGCTACTTCCTGCTGCATCCGCCCGGAAGGCTGTTGTAGACCTTGGCTACACACAATATCAAGGCCATGAGCTCTCCAACGGCATTGTACAGTGGCTGGGCATGCGTTATGCTGCCCCTCCTGTCGGACAGTTGCGATTTGTTGCCCCACAGGATCCGCTGCCAACAAAAGGTGTTCAAGAAGCAGACAAGGTAGATATTCAGTCAAAACCTAGATGTCGTAAGCTTCCCATGCTGACGAGCGATCTGGGGCTTAGCACGGCCCCATCTGTATCCCAACTGGGGAATACCCTGTGGGCTCTAGTAAATCCGAAGATTGCCTGTTCATCGATGTGTATGCTCCAAGGAATGCGTCCAATCTCCCTGTGTTCTTCTGGATACAAGGTGGTGGGTTCAACTCCAATTCGAATGCCAATTACAATGGAACTGGGTTGATCGAAGCGTCTGGCTCGGAAATCATCGTGGTTACCTTCAACTACCGAGTTGGACCATATGGGTTCTTGGCTGCCACGGAGGTCCAGAATAGCGGAAGTTTGAATAACGGCCTCAAAGATCAGATCAAGGCTCTCAAATGGGTCCAGAAACATATCAGCAAGGTGAGGCGTCTCCTGCTCTATCTGTTTCTCAGCTTCGGTGGTTAACTCTTCGTCAAAGTTTGGTGGCAACCCCAATCATGTTGTCCTCGGCGGTGATAGCGCAGGGGCTGCTTCCATCACCCTGTTGCTCTCAGCCCATGGGGGGAGAAATGATGGCCTATTCCACGCTGCAGCTGCAGAGTCACAAAGCTTTGCCGCTATGCTTACTTTGACTGAGAGCCAGTTTGCTTACAACAACCTGGTCATCCGCACCGGCTGTGCGAGCGAAAACGACACACTCGCGTGTCTGCGCAATCTTGATACAGCAAGCCTTCAGCGCCAGAACTTCAACACGCCGTTCCCTGGAGCGCAAGAGGCGCCGCTGTACATGTACGGGCCGACTATCGACGAAGACCTCGTGCCCGACTATACATATCGCCTTTTCCATCAGGGCAAGTTCATCAGGGTGCCAGTCATCTTCGGCGACGACACGAACGAAGGTACCCTCTTCGTCCCGAAAGATGTTGCTAGCGTCTCGGAAGCCGACAAGTTCCTTCAAAACCAATTCCCGAAAATTGAGCTTCATCACCTAGCCAAGATTAATGAGCTGTATCTACAGGAAAACCAGACTCAGTCTTTCCCAGATGCTAGTGTTTGGTGGAGACCTGCAAGCAACGCTTACGGAGAGATGCGGTACATCTGCCCTGGCATCGACATGTCAACCGTCTACGAGAATGCTGGGGTCAAGAGTTGGAACTATCACTACGCCGTGGAAGATGAAGCCGCTCAAGCTTCGGGTACTGGTGTATCCCATACAGTCGAGGTCAACGCCATTTGGGGCCCCGAGTACACAAACGGGGGTGCACCTCCCTCTTATACTACCACAAACGCTCCGATCGTCCCGGTCATGCAGGGTTACTGGACGAGTTTCATTAAGACGTTCAATCCGAATACTCATCGCTATCCGGGCAGCCCCGAATGGAAGACTTGGGGTGACGGGGGAGGATACAGCCGTATTTTCATCAAGACGAACGAAACGAAAATGGAAAGTGTCCCGATCGATCAGAGGCAGAGGTGTGGATATCTGACCAGCATTGGGACGACGCTGGGCCAGTAGACCTAGATGGGGTACACTAATTTGAGACCTCTGTTTCAAGGTAGGATGATGGTGAAAAGGGAGAAATTTCTTTTGTGACGTTCGACAAGTGTATATACAATAAAGCCTTGAAGCCTGGTACGCCTTTGACAATAATGATGCCAGAAAAACCAAGAATCCCGTAGCCACAGACGGCCTGAGTATCAAAGATGTCATGAGAGGAGTGAAAGGAACTACCACTTCCCCTGGCGCTTCCTCTTCTCCCTCTCGTACGCATTCGCCTCTCGGCCCTCCTCGTTCTGGATCTCCGCCACGAGCCGCTTGTACTTCTTCTCGTACTCGGCGTCGCGCTCCTTCTTCTCGCGCAGCTTCTCGCGCGCAATGAAGTTGGCATCCTTGCGCAGCTCGCGCATGGCACCCTTGCGCTCGCGCTTGAACTCCGCCTTGAGGCGGTTGAGTTCCGCCCGCTCGCGGTTGGGGTCGTAGTGCTTGTCCGGGTTGAAGGTCTCCTCGAACTTGGGGATGGCGGTCTTGATCGCCAGCGGGCGGTGGTTGTGCAGCAGCAACGGCCGGCGGGTGGCACGCGCGCGGGAAAGATGTGTGTCAAGTTTGTCCAGTGTCGATTGCAGGTTGTCCTGGACGACGGACGAGAGCTTCCCTTTTGCGGATTTGCTCACGTGGCGGAGCACTCGCTGCACCTGCTCGAAGATCTCGAAGAATGCCGACTTGCCAGCCCACAGGTCGGACGCGGAATTGAGAAGGGTGACAAAGGTGTGGATAAGAGAAAGTTTAAGCTCGTCCTGGGCCCTCTGATCGGACTGCGCGGTGGCGATATCCCAGAATCGGAGCTTTCGAGGGTTAAGCTGTTTAGAGGGGATCAGTCGCATCGATCCGTGAGATCCCCTTGCCGGGAAGAACCCAAGGCTGCTGGTTGGTTCTGTCGGACAGAGATTGCAGAGGGCATTGAGCACGTAGTTGATGAACTCGGGCATGTACCGCTTCGAAATGGTCTGGTACTGGAGACAGAGGCTGGCGGCGTAGGCACCTGTGGTGTAGTCTCCGAGCGAATCGATAGCTCCTTGACCCAGATACCGAGCGAGACATAAATGGGCAGGCGTAGCAATTGCGTGGAAGTGATCCGAAGTTGGAAAGGTGGTTGCAATGCCTGTTAAAATGACAAGGTCTCCAGCGCGCAGGCTGAGAGGACGGTCTGTCGCAATCTCACGGAGATACCTTCTGTACGCCATGCATACGCTTTCCGGGTGGGACTTGGCCAGAGAGTGAATGTGACGTAGGATGGCCTCGAGAACGTTGAAAGGAGGATGTTCGGGTTGCTCAGCCATATAAGCAACATGACGGACAAGGACAGCAGCGAAGCGCCCTAACTTCGTCTTGTTGTCGGCATGCAGACGCGGGTGGTGCAGGGCTCGAATACGCTGGATGACAGTAGGCAGGTCATTCATGGGAACATCCTTGATGACTTCAAGGAAAGATTCATGATCCTCGGGACATGGGTAGGTGTAGGCCAACCCTTCACTTGTCTTTTGGGCACCATCGGCTGCTGCTGTGGAATCCCCAGATTTGCTGGTAGGGAGTGTAAGCCCATTGATAAGCTCATCTTCTTCCTCGTCTTCCTCCTCCGATTCTTCTTCAGACGATCCCTCTTCGCCGTCGCTTTCGTCGAACGAGAGACTCACATTTGACCTCGTCTCAACAAGATCGTCGTCAATGATAAAGTCGTCCTCGTCTTCGACTCCCATCTCGGGACCTTCATTTGTCTGAGGAGAAGGCTGCTTCAGACCAAATGCCTCCGCATCGTCTGGAATGGACTCATCGTCAGAGTCCTCGCCTCCCGTTTCGCTTTCTCCTTCTTCATCATCCTCCTCTTCGTCGCTCTCCTGTTCACCACGCATTCTTCTAAGACGCTCTTCCTCAAGGGCCTTGAGTCGTTGCGCTTCCTCTTCGGCCTTCTCTACAGCCGTCTTGGTACGGTCTGTTGGCTGAGAACGCTTGTCGAACGTCAATTGTTTCAACCGCTGATCATATTCTTTATTGGGGTCATCATCCGCAGTCCCTTTCAGCAACGCTGCACGGTCTGGGTTCATCGACTCCAGGTCGTCCTTTGCAGGTTCCGGTTTCGGTGGCGGCTTCACACCGCGCAGCATGTCGAAAAGGTCGGGGAGGCCTTTATCAAGCTCCTCACGAAGATCGTCGTCTTCCTCTTTCGCCTTTTGCCGTTCCAGCTTGTAGAACTTCGACTTGGCGATGACTTCCTTCATGACTTCATGTTTCGATTTTTTCCTCTCCGGCTGATCCTCTCCATCCTCATCATCAAAGACAAAATCTTCCAGCTCTTCATCATCATCAAGAATTCTTTTCCTTTTCCGCGGCATTTCTGAGTCTGATTGATCCTCCTCCAATCCACGCAGATCCTCTTCAAAATCGTCTTGAGGGACGTCATCGCCGAGGGTTAACGTCTGGCCTTTGTGCGTGAGTTGAAAATCGTCTTCATCGTCATCTTCCAGATTGAACATCGACTCCTTGCGCAGTTTCTTCTGACTTTCTCTGGCAAACCGTGCGGCGGCTCTCTCCTCGGGTGTCATGGTCGGATCGTCTTCACCGAAACGGCGATCAACGATACCACCAATCTTGTTCTTCCTCTCCATTTCCCGAAGAAGCGTTTGGCGTCTCTGTCATATAGAAAAAAAAAATTTAGTTGCCGGGCATTCTGCATTTTGAACGACATCCAACCCACCTTTTCTTCTCCAAGTGACTTCGTCACTCCGGGCCTTGACAGACCAGCGGCCGGCTTAGGGCCCCCATCTCTAGTAGTCACATCGAACTTGTTCCGGGACGTCACTTTGATCTCGAACGGATTAAATCGATCTCGAATTGCTTGCAGAGCGGCATTCCGCTGCACAAGATTCTGAGCGCTGACGCCAGCCTTCGCATTCTGGCGCTTTTGCTTCTTGGACTGCTGCGGCGCTAAGACACCACTCTCGCGAAGCGACGCCTTCAACTGTTTCAACTGCGAAGGCGGCATGGTGATGTGTTGGTGTTGAAGTAAAGGCGTCCAGCTGCTCCACCGAAATTTTTTGGACGATGCATTTTTCAATGATTGCCCGCAAAAAAAGTAGGCTCACCGCTTTCGTCGGGGGAAATTCTGCCGCACCGCTTTCGAGATGATCGAACTACTCCGCTTTCTCCTCACATGCAGATGTCCTTTGGGAACCTGCATTGCCATAGCAAGATGGCTTCTCATTTGAGTGATAGGCTTCTGTGGTTATGTCTGGGTATGTTCTACCTATACAGCTTTTGCGATTCTTGTTTAGAAAGCTAATTAATCAGGCGTGTCCCTCTTCTTTGCCGTCCGCGGAATTGCTGCGGATCTCCGCCGCGTGAGTGATTTGACGGAGATCAAGCATGTCGAAAAGGAAGACAAGATAATCAGTGAGGGCACAGAGGATGGTATGTTGAACGATTTCACAAAAGGCATTTTCAGGGACTGACTTCCATCGCAGCTCTCAAACTAGATACACTCTTGAAGCTGTCCGATAGCACAAGTTACGACCTTCGTGCTGCGTACGCTGCTCCGGCTTTCCTTTATGAAGCGTTGACATCGGCTAATGATCCGTCTAGGGCACTACGCATCATTGCGGAACGATCTACGAAAGGCTCGACGCGAGATTTGCTTCTAAAAGACCTGGCAAGCAAAAATAAAGAGCGACGAGGTAGAGCGCTAACTGCGCTATACTTCCTGCTATCTAATAGAGCGCGTACGTTCTCCATTGATACATTCTTTGGACTGCTCGCATACTAACTGAGTGTCAACGTGTAGTTTCACGAACCGCTGTCTGTTCTCGCCTGAAAGACCTCTCTACCTACAATGCCCTCGTCGATTGTTTGTGCAATTTCCTTGAGGAGCACGTTGAAGAAACCTCTACCACCGATTCGCCTATCCTGCCAAAAACGAGACCGTTGGGCGAGAAAAAAGCACTCAGTATTCTCAATCTGATCCTGCGAGAAAATATTCCTGCTGCGCTGGAAGCTGGTGTGGTCAGTCGTTGGCTTTCTAAATACCCATTCCCGTGTGCTTTGACAAAGCCGTCGCGGAGGCAAGACGTGGTGATACTTATGAAGACTTGGTGGTCTGATGACACGATCATGAGTGAAATATTCAGCACGCTATCATCTCACCCCGATGGTACAAAACAATTAAGAAAATATGGTCTAATGGGCAGCATGATGGAGGAGAACGACCATGATGATGATGAAGAAGATAGCGATGTATGGATGATTGATGGCGAAGATACAGCCGGGTCGAGGCGCCTTTCAGGGAGAAGGCTTCGGGGGGGAACCGCAGCAGAACAAGCCGTCAGGAGGCGCAGGAGGGAAGCCATGGTGTTGAGCGACGGAGTTCATCCTTTGAACAATGACGATATCTTTCAAATACCTATCGCAGAATGACTGTGAACTGCTCGCATATTCTTCAACTTCGAAGGCGAAAACATCTTCTCGAAACGCTGTGGGATATTCTGCATGATAGCTTTCTGCATATTTTGGTTACTCGTTCATTTTCTCATGCATTCATGATACCCTTTATTGTTGATAGCACTATATATTACAATTTCGCATAATTGCGACAAGTCTCGCGTGCTACGCTCATAACCCCATCCAGGCCGACTTCATCACATGGTCAATCTTCTTCCGACTGCTCTTGACAAAGCCAAACGCTTTAAGCTCAGACAAACTCCTATAGAACATAGCCATGATCATTCGTTCATCGCAGCTGTCACCTTGTTCGCTTTCGAAGACCGCATAGAAAGCCTGCCAAATATCGTATACGTTAACCAGAGAGCCAGACTCGAGGTATAGCTGAAACAAGATCGCTGTGGCGGGCTGTTTAGTAGAGAGCTTCGTTTCAGAAGACTCTGACGTCGATATCAAATAATCGAATGGATTGGACAAGGCCCGTTCAATGGCGAAACGAGGCCGCGGCGTGAATGTCTCTTTCAGAGGGTTCCTCATATCCAGGAAGAATACCTCATGCAAGCACAAGTCCTGCGGCCTAAGCAGGGTTTCCGTAAGATATGCCTCTAATAAATGATAAAAGCGATCAATAATCCTCGTGTAGTCGACGCTGTGTTTGGACACCTTGCTTTTCCCCTTACTGAGTTTGACCCGCTGTTGAACAACGGTCGTTGCCACCATGGACTGTCGGCTGTCATACTCACTTCGAAGGGGTTCAGCACCTTGATATTCTTGCAATAGAGCATCTAAGTCTCTCTGGATTTGTTGAAATTCCTGGCCTTTCTTCAAGCCATCCGGAAGACAAGAGAGGAGGTCCCCCAGTCTTTTGGAATCCAAACTTCTCAAGATCTTCATCATGTCCTCCACAGAGGAGGAGTTCAGCAGTTCTCCTGACAGGGCACGGATGGAAAGCTCCGAAATATCTGTTCTCTTGGTGAGATTCAGAGTTCTTCGACATGATTGAATCCACCTGACAGTCTGGAAGATATCACGCATCTTCTGCTGTCCGGATCTAAGATGCCGCAACATTTCTCGGAAGAAAAATTCGTCATCTTCCAGCAACCTGCGCGCTTGGTCGAATGACCCAACATCAAGAAGATGCTCACAGTAGCTTCATACCATTTAGTGAAAGCACATAACCGCAGCAGAATAAGACACTCACCCTCGAAAGGATGGAAGGTTTCTGATTGCTTCGCACAGAGGACCGTTCCGAAGTGTTCCAGGCAAGTCGTTTGCAAGAAGTACAGACAAAGGATTCGCAAAAAAGTGGGTCATATAAGAATACTGCCAAGTCGTTTGTGAGATGATGGAACTTTAAACGACTAGGAGGTGCGGGAATATACCTTGATCACTCGACTGAACGCCTCCGGCGTCTGAAAGTAATCGTTCGATCTTTCAAACAGAACGGCAGTAATGTTGCGACCGAGCCAGAAGCGGCCACTCGGATCCGCCTGCAGTCGCTCATATATGCGATCGACACAGTTGCTCGCATCATGGATTTCAAAATATTGGCCTCTGAGCAAGGCGACAGTCGATCGTGGAAGTCTCCCTTCGAAAAGCTCAACAGACGTTGAAATACCAAATAATAGAGTAAAAGGTATTCTGTCGAGCCATGAGCTGCAGTAATATGTCAGATTCTGGATAATCGAACCAAAGGACGCTGGGCTCACTTCAGTAGCAACAATAGGTCTGTCAAGATGGTGGGATCGAAGGCTTCGCTGTCTCGAAATGCGAGCACCATCTTCTTGACTCCCTTTCTTTTCACATAGTCGCTCAGCAAGTCAAGGTCATATGCTAGAAGTCTTGGTCCCTGTACCACGCTTAAGCCATCGAATTCGTCACGCTGGGATTAGAGGACGGCAGTCTAACCTCTCTATCGGTCAATAACTTCTGATACCCATCATTTCCTTCCGTATTCGTCACCGCGGCACGTATGATGTTTTTCAGCGTCGTTTTCAGGTTGGGTGTATCCCCGGATTCCAGCACAACAACACCACCCTCTCTTGTCGTGGTCAATTGGTCATTCAAACGCGAAAGTAGCCGACCAAGGGAGGAAACGTTCGATCCAACAGTGACTAATGCCGCCGGTATGCACCCTTTATATCTATTTCCAATTAGATTCCGTAACTCATCGGTGCCATTGGTGGGATTTTCGTACGTCTCGAATGAGGTCGATCTGACAAAGGTCGAGACTCTCTCATAAACATCGGAGTCGATATCTACCAAAATTTCCTGACTTGAAGTTAGAAGATGTCATCATGTCAGGACTCTCTATAGCACTAACTTGGATCTTTGCTTCCTGCTCGGACCATAGCTGTTGGTAGGTTTCGTATCTTAGTTTGACAGCGCGTTCGGGCTCGTCGCCGTTCAATAAGGGCTCGAACGGATAGGCAGGGTCTATTTCGGCTTTCCGCTCCGATTGTACTTTTCGCCGTTTCGAGGGTCTTTCTCCATGGCTTTTGTTTTGATTAGAAGGTTTATAGATATAGACACCCTAGTTGTGTACAGCGTTAGTTCAGTGCGGCCTTGAGTGTCAATTGTTCCACGTACCTGACTACTTGATCCATCTTTAAATGGACCCAGCGCATCCGTCTCTATATGGTCTGGATCCATCGCGCGCGAAGCCTCCGTGGGAAAAGTAGGCTAGATAGCTCTTGAGAAACAATAATGTTGAACCTCAAATGCCGCGGCAGACCTTCGCGTGTGCCACTAAGCCAAATCGGGTAATAGTGGCTCTTTCGCCGCGGAGCTTCAAGATCCTCATCTATCCACTTTCTTTCTTGACGTCGCTGGCTCTTTAGTATCTCGACAGTTTCGTCCGATGATCTAAACTCAATACTTCATGCTCCGCCAAGCTGCTCGAGGAGCTCGGTGGTATCAATATGTGGCCCACAAAAGCCCGTTGATTACCTCCTCGTCTCGACTGCGAGCCTTCTCCGTTCTAGCGCCACAGCTTCTACATTATGGCGGAAAAGATGACAAGATTCGCTTCTACGAGCAGGATACGCGAGGGAGTAAGACCAGGAGGGAAATCGATCCGGAAGCTGAAGATCGCGCAGCGAAGGAAGAGGTGGAGAGTGAGCTTTCCCAGCTCGACAAGGAATTAGAAGACCTGAGGGAAGGCCCTTATGGTCCGAATAGCGCCTTCATGAGAGAGTTGCCGGAACATGAAAGGAAGATAGCGCTTGAGGCCCTTCAAAAACATGCAGAGGAGACAGGTGAAGCTGATGACGACTTGGGTCTCGATAAGGTCTTCGATGAGGAGCTGGACAATATGCTCAGGGAAGAGTTTGAAGGCATGGCAATGGAGGAAGAAAATTGGCTGTCGGAAGCGGAGAAGGAAAGCTCTACAGAAGCACCTGTGCTGAGACAGCCCTACGAAGTGACCTTGCACGACGTAGAATCTCATGCTTACGTCGACAAGCTCAATGAGTGTCTCAGACGATTGAATAGTGACCGTTCTGATGAACGCGCTAAGCAAGACCTGTGGAAGTGGTATCGCCGCTGTCGACA